AGAAAGACTGTGCCTTGTGTCGCTGAACTCTTGTGAAATGCCCCATATACCCAATGTCCTGCCTGCTGTCGGAGAAACCGGGGCGGCTCTGGGGCTGCTTAAATCAGCACACCGAGGGCTAGTTCCTTGGAGGGAAAGTTCCTATACAGCAGTCTGGCTGGCGCCAGGGGCGTGACCACGCCTATGAGGAAGCCCAAGTTCACGCCCAAACATCTGTCTTTAAAACAGCCCACTACAGCCACCACGTGGAGGGAGAACGCGAGTGGAGAAAGATGGAGGGAGTTTTGCCGCTTTATTAAAAAATCTACCGCTCTGAGCTGATCCTAGCTGACACGGGAGTCCGCCTCGAGCATTGCGGCTGCTTTGCTCTGGGGATGATCAAGGGCACCAAAAGATTATGTCTAGTTTCTCCTGAAAGCAGGAGGCCAACTGCACTGGTTGGAGCTTGGGCCAGGTGCGGACATTGCGGAGAGCCTCTGAACAGTTTTCTGCCCAGCAATCTGGCAGCTCGTAGCTGAATTTTGGATTTACAGACAGGACTCTGCACAGACAGACCAGAGAGCTGGAAGGCCAGAGTAATTCAGGAAACTGCTACACCAAGCAATGTCCAGTCCTGGGACCGCGACTCCCCCGCCACTTTTGCTGTCTCATGTAGCGGAGAAGGGTCGCACATTGCCATTCCCTGCTTGTCGAAAGACACTTGAGGGCCAGAGTCTACAGCTGCTGTTCAGCAGGAATCGGGCAACGTATCGGATCAGCAGGTCTTGTTTACCCACACTGACCTCTCTACTCCTAGTTACGGGGATGACCAGTCCTCAGGTGAGCCAGTAGAGAGCGTTAGTGGCAGAGGGGTAGATTGGGAATCGCCCAGACTACTGGCGAGGATCGAGCCCCTGGAGATAGAAAAAGAGGGATGGACCTCTGAGGAAACACAAGAGGAGTGTGACTGGAGAGACATTACAGTTGAGCTGGACTTGCAGGCGGGATCATCAGAATCCCCATACACGCCAGACTCCCCCCAATTTTCAGCTTTCAGCGCTGTTGAACTTTGAATGACAATTATGCGGTCATGCAACACTGTACCCATATGAAATTTTTATAATTTTTTTTCATACAAATACAGCTTTTTTTTGGTGGTATTTAATCAACACTGGGTGTTTTATTTTTTGCATTATAAATAAAAAAAGAGCAAAAAATGTGAACAAAAATTTTTTTCTTTGTTTCTGGTATAAAATTTAGCAAACAGATAATTTTTCTCCTTCATTGATGTGCATTGATGAGGCTGCACTGATAGGCAGCACTGATAAGTAGCACTGATGAGGCAGCACTGGTGAGCATTGATGAGGAGGCACTGATGATGCACTGATATGCAGCAATGATGGCCACTGATTGGCAGCACTGACTGATAACACCGAATGGAGGCACTGACGGGTGGCACTGCTGGGCACTGACGGGTGGCATTGATGGGCAACACTGATGGGCACTAAGTAGCACTGATGAGGCAGCACTGGTGGGCATTGATGAAGAGGCACTGATGATGCAGATATGCAGCAATGATGGCCACTGATTGGCGGCACTGAATGATAACACCGAATGGAGGCACTGATGGGTGGCACTTTTGGCCACTGATGGGTGGCACTGCTGGGCAGCACTGATGGGTGACACTGCTGTGCAGCACTGATGGGCGACACTGCTGGGCACTGATGGGCAACACTGCTGGGCACTGATGGGTGGCATTGCTGGGCAGCACTGATAATCAGTGCCCTGATTATTAGTGCAGATCTCCCCTGTCACATCTGCTGGTTATTGGCAGTACTTTCCTCATGCTGTGATAGTGCAGCCGATAACCGACAACTGTATTTACATTGTGATCTGCTGTGTCATTGTCATCGCAGTGATTGGCCTTTTACCTTATCACGTGATCAGCTGTGTCCACAGGACACAGCGATCATCAACAGCGCCGGGTGCGCACCGCTAGGCGCGTGAAGGGGGGGTATTCTGGGAGGACATCCATGGACGCTCCCCCCAGAACTAGACAACCACGCTGTAGCCGTCTTTCGGCTATAGCGCGGTTGGGATGCAGTTAAGCAAAGACTCAAAAAAAAAAGCCAAAGCACCCAAACAATTATGGTTCTCATTTCAATACTGTGCTGCTTTATAACCTTGATAGACAGTTAGGGACAGGACTGTACTATTTTCAATTGCTTGAGTTTGTGTGTTGCGTTCATAATTGTTTGCAGGTTACAGGACAGCTGACCTCCCTGCACTTGAAGAACAAAGTTTGTTTACTGATGAAGGGCTTCCTTCTTGGGGGAGGTAGTTCACCTCTATGTTACTTTTTGCTGGTTACCCATCCAATTATAGTACTGTGTTCATTTGTTCCTGCTGCTAGTGAGTTAGCGTTAATCAGGATGTGTAAATATGTAATTTATGTAAATGTGTACATATGCAAAATCTCTATTTTTTATACTATTTATTTATATTTGCGTATGTATTTCATTTCCCTTCCAGTTATTGTACCCTTTTCCCCCTCCCATTTTTGTATGCCCTGCTCCTGGGCTCAGGAGCCCTTTTGCTCTTCTTTTTTGCCCCCAGCCAATACAAACATGGCTGTTTTTAGTGGGGGGTGAGTGTAGCACCCTCCTAGTTTAGTTAGGGGGAGCTAAACCCTAATGGCTAGCCAGGAGCTGGTTAGAAGCTTGGGTGTGATAGTCAGAGGGGTCAGGACTGAGAGACTCTGCAGGCTAGCCCCTCTGGAATTTCCCCCTGCTCTCAGAGGAGGGCCTTGGAGGCAGTGGGTAGATCGGAGGAGTGGCTGACTGCACTCAGCCAATCCCCAACAGAAGTCTTGGCAAAGGGCTGGGACTTCCTTAAAAGTGTAGGAGCCTGCCCAGTAGCCGGAGTGTGGTTGTGGGAGAGAAGCAGTGGAAGAAAGATGTGAGGCTGGAAATGTGGAAAAATTGGGCCTCACTGGCCCCCTGAGAAAGGACAACCTGTATGGCAGGGATGGATTAGCCCAGCTGAAGGTCCTGGAAGCAGCAGCCAACCCTCAAGTGGTACAGGAGAGGATCTGAGTGAGTACACCTGCACCCCCTGGGCGGATAGAGGAAGGAACACTCTGGTGGGAAACCAGATTAGCCCCCTGCTAGTGACTGTGCACCTTATTTAAACAAACAGGAGACTGATCCCCTGTTCAGGAAAAGTCTCCAGATTGCTGGGTGAAGAGAAGTTCATCTAGGGTCTGGGGTGGTTCAACTAGGAGCTGCTGGCTAGCACTCCAACAGAGACTGTGTCAGAAAGAGAAGCTTCGGAATAGTTCAGGAAGTTGTCCTCAGATATTGATTCCCTTGGCCATCCTATACCCCCTTACCCTATTCAAGTTCTAATACCCTCAATAAAAAAAACAAAACCAATGCTCAAGGACTGGTTTCTGTCTCCAAATGCAAGCTTGTGTGGAAAATACTGAATGACTGGCTGTGCATTACCAAAAGGAGACCCAATTCATTAGCAACCCCTAAGGGAGTAATGCTACAATAGAATCTTTACCTCTTCTGTCAATAGTGATATAGGGTGATATTAATCCCTTTTTAGGGAGTACCGCAACTGTGGCCTCGTACATAGAATTGATTGATTAATTGATGCCCACTATCATATTTACTGATAACAAGAATTAGTATTTGTGTGCCAAACAAGCAAATAACAGACATATCATGGATCAGAGCCAATTTATCCTTACATATGGGTGACTAAATTTGTTCTCCAGTGATCACTGAGCCTTCCTCTACAAGCAGTTGTTCAGCATTGTCCATTTTTTCCCCATGATTCTTGCTAGAGCCAGAAGATTTCCTACAGACTCAACATAAAAAGCAGTTGACATCACTAGATGCTTCCAACTCTTCAAAGTAGCACATCAGTATAGAGGGGGTGAGGAATTCTTTGAACTTCTGAATATTGTTTTTTAATCTGTATTTTTATTCAGATCTGCTGCTACACAAATGATGGTCTTCTTTCGTCCCATTAATCCCCTTTAAATATTGTGAATGTCAGTGCAGAAGTAGTTTTCTACAAAGCAGTCTAAATTGTATGGGTTTTTGTTTGGTCCATTGAGTCTGGCTGTGTGAGTTTTGCAGCAAAAGGAGCACAAAAAATACATTATTCAAGTACATACAATAAGGCACCCAATATACACACATATATGTACAAAGATAAAGGCATTTAGAGACAGCTACAAAAATATTATTTGCAACGGATATGTCAACAGCTTCATATATAAGGCTATTTTTCCTTGTTATATAAGTGGCACTCTGCACCTTCTTTAAAATCAGATTACTGGGTGCAACAGTTTATTCTATGTAGATGCTTATCATCTTTTAAATGTCCATAAAAGTGGTTTAAATTGACCACTCCATTTGTCTGAACATAACAGTGCATGGTAATACACATGTATCTAGATTAATATGCATATCAATGATACATATCTAGTATTTTCTTATTAAAAACATCTTTTTTATTGTTTTTTTTTAATGTTGCAAATGGCTCCGATTTGGCCTTAGAAAATTGAAAAAATAAACACGTTTTGTCATCTTCTATCAAAAAGTGGTTGTTCACCTCTTTATAAAGCTCTTTTTAGCATAAATACTCTAAAAAAAAATTGTGCACAGACAAAAAAAAGTTTATCCCACCGGCAGTGAGAAATGTTTGTTTGGTAAATCATAGGAGTTGCTTCCAACTTGGTAACCAGGTTTTGTTCTTCTCCTATCGTAACATTAATTACTGCAAAAAAGACTCTGGAATGAAGACATCTAGTTAACTTTCTCTCTAGACTGTTAATCTGGTTTATATATTGCTTCCAGGTTTTAATCCTTTGTCAAGAAGTTAAGGAGCAAGGTTCAGAATTCACCAGAAACTTTCTAGCATTAATTTTTGAAGTGTATTTGCTCTTTTTAAAAGTGTTTAAATAAGAAGTTCCTACATTATCACTCTCCTCTATCTCCATCACATCAGTAGCCCCGAGATTCAACTCGGAAGGACACCACTGCAGGTACCTTCCTTTTTAGCCTGTTGAAGTCCTTTGCTGACCTCCAGAGCCAGATCTGCAGCTCTTTCAGCAGCCAGAAGTCCTCCATCTTACGCAGAAAGTCATTGCCCCTCCCAAACCCCAACCCAAGCTGAGGAGAAGAATTGGAGAATTCAGGTGGAGGCTGGTAGCCCAAGGAAGACATGACACCAGCAATGCTGACAACCAGACCCTGCAAGCTGGTGCAGAAGCGGCCCAGGCTTCTTCGAAGTTCAGTTCTGGCCACTTCACTGTCAATGGAACGCAGGTAGCAGAGCAGGAGACTGTAGGCCCGGTGGTTCTCTGCTAAACGCAGGCTGTCATTCAGGTTGCGCCACATCTGAGAGTCCACTGAGGCACTTGGGATGGCGTCTGGACCACCAGCACGAGGGGGGTTGAAGTCCGGATCGTTGAAAGGAGGACCAAGATAGTTTAACTGATGGTGAGAAAAAAGATATATTTTGGAATTTTATATCATTACACAGGTAACATTAAAACACAACTCCAGCTAAAACTTTTCCTTCCTTTTTTATTTGGTTGAGAAGGAAACAACCTTTCTGTGAGGCACAGATAGTAAAAGAACATTTTATGATTTCAAAACTCTCCTTCAGGAGATAAAACTCACTTCTTGTTTGGTCACTGGAACAGGAAGTGAGGTGAAATCTCTAAAATATGGTTGCACAGATGGCAATAAAAATCTGAAAGAAGTAGTAGGCCTTTTCCACTGTCACAAAAAAATGTGTGAATAAACTGTAAAATTATTGGAAATAAAAAAAAAATATATATATATATATATATATACACACATATATACACACACACAAATGCGTACACACAATGCATTCATAATGTATTCAGACCCCCTTCACTTTTTTCAATTTGTTATGTTGCAGCTACAGTTGTTTGAACTCATATTTTTTTTTCATTAATAATCTACACTCAGTACCCCATAGTGACAAAGTGAAAACCGAATTTTATAAATGTTTGCAAATGTATGAAAAGGAAAAATCTGAATATCACATTGGCATAAATATTCAGACGCTTTGCAACAACACTCAGATGCTTCCCATTTCTCTGGATCATTGCTGACATGTTTCTACATGATTGGAGTCCATCTGTGGTAAATTAAATTGATTGGACATAATTCGGAAAGGCACACACCTCTCTATAAAAGCCCTTACAGTTTAAAATGCATACTGTATCAGAGCAAAAGCCATGAGGTCAAAGGAATTGCCAGCACAGCTCAGACACAGGATTATTGCAAGGTACAGATCTGGGAAGGCTACAAAATATTTCTGCTGCACTGAAGGTTTCCAGGGGCACAGTAGCCTCCATAGAAGATGTTTGGCACAACCAGGATTCTTCCAAGAGCTGGTCGCCTGGCCAAACTGAGCAGTTGGGGGAGAAGGGCCTTAGTAAGAAAGGTGACCAAGAACCTGGTGGTCACTCTGACTCCGCTCAAGATATACTGTGTGGAGATGGGACAAAGTTCCAGAAGGACAACCATTACTGCAGCCCTCCACAGATCTGGGCTTTAGGGCTGGATGGAAGCCTGTCCTCAATGCAAAACACATGAAAGCCCACTTGAAGTTTGCAAGAAAGCACCTGAAGGAACAAGATTCTGTGATCTGATGAAACCATGATTGAACTGTTTGGCCTCAATTCTAAGCATTATGTCTGGAGAAAACCTGGCACCGCTCATCATTCACCCAATACCATCCCAAAGTGAAGCATGGTGGTGGCAGCATCATGTTGTAGGGTGTTTTTCAGCAGCAGGGTCTAGGTGGTCAGGGTTGGTCAGGATTGAGGGAAAGATGAATGGAGCAAAGTAAAGAGATATCCTCAATGAAAACCTGTTTCAACAGTGTCAGGACCTTAGACTGGGCCAAAGGTTCACCCTCAACATGACAATGATCCTAAGCACACAGCCAAGAAAACACAGGAGTGGCTTAGGGACAACTCTGTGAATGTCCTGGAGTGGCCCAGTCAGACTTGACTGACTTGAACCCTATTGAGCATCTCTGGAGAGACCTGAAAATGGCGGTCCACCGACGGTCCCCATCCAACCTGACTCAGCTTGAGAGGATATACAAAGAATGGCAGAAAATCCCCCAATCCAGGTGTGCATAGCTTGTCATGTCATACCCAAAAAGACTCAAGGCTATAATTGCTGCCAAGGGTGCTTCAACAAAGTACTGAATAAAGCGTCTGAATACTTCATTACATATGATATTTCAGTTTTTTCTTTTTAATAAATTCACAGATATTTCTAAACTTCTGTTTTCACTTTGTCATTATGGCGTATTGAGTGTAGATTAAAGAGAGAAAAAAAGGAATTTAAACAACTGCAGTATCAGGCTGCAACATAACAACATTGAAAAAAGTGAAGGGGGTCTGAATGCACGGTATATACACACACACACACGCATGTATACTGTATGACACATCTTGTCTGAGAGAGATCTTTTCTTTTACAATCTTCCAGAAATGATAACATTCTCTATATATTTTAGGCTATAGATATAAAACACTAACGTTTTGGGACTTTTTTTTACAAAAAAAAAAAAATTTTTTTGTAAAAAGAATTGGAAAAAAAAAAAACGCAAATGTAAAAAAAAATGCGGCACAACGTCACTAAACACTAATGCAAAACCGCTAAAAACTGCTGAAAAACTCACATTTTTTTAACACACAGTACAATTACAATACAAATTAAGACAGGAGGATTCAGAGGGGCCCTGCTCGTTAGAATGCTACAAAAAAGCAAACAAAGCAGCAAAAACATAAATAACATTTTCATACAATCAGTATACAAAAGTTTTTAAAAAAGCTAGTTCAGTAGATCAGAGAGATGGGGGGGGGGGGGGGGGGGGGTTAATTAGGGTTGTTTTTGGGCGTCACTCAAATTGAGAAATCCAAGTGTAGTTCAGCCAAAATGAGCACCAAATATCTTAGGAGTCCAAATTTTTTTAAATTATTTCCACAAATGGCAACAAGAAAACAAAAGGCAGCAAAAGCATTGCAGGAGGGTCACAAATCCCGCTTCATGGGATATACAAAAACAAAAGCATAGAATTTCTTATATTTAGTATTCCATTCTTTGTTTTTTGTAGCCCTGAAGAAGGGGGAATGAGTTGGAGGCTTTTGATTTCTGGGCTCTCAAGATATTAGTTTGGCACTCATTTTGGCTCAGCTTTACATGTACTGTATGTAGTACATTAGACTGTAGTGTCTTTTTAATGCTACAACTGAAGTCAGGTTAAAAAACACTACAATAGCAAGATAAAATTAATCAGGTTAAAGCGTAGCTGTACTTAAAGTGTATCTAAAGCCAAAACCGTTTTTTTTAGATTTGGATAGAGTGGTGATCTGAGAACCTTTGGCTTGTTTTTATTGCTGTTTGTGTTTCTATTAGAGAGACTTACACCATTTATTTGCCCTGGTGTGCACAATCACTGGTGCTGAAAGTGATGGTCACCAGAACAGGGGCAGAGGGAAATCTTTCAATGGGGACAACTGTCTAAGATTTCCACTCACTTCCTGTTGTGTCTACAGAACAGAAGTTGAAAATCTTACTGATAGGACACGGGGACAAAGCAAAAAAAAAAAAAAATTACAGTGATGTCATTCCCTACACTATCCAAAACATATAAAACAAATTTGGCTTTAGAGATACTTTAATGCAGACATTACTATGCATGTGTACAGTGGAGACCAGGCAATCGCAAGTCCTTAAAGTATTACTAAACTCACAACAGTAAAATCAGTGTGTATATGCAGTAAAGCATGCTTGTTATACTCACTGTGGAACCTAAGGGTTAATCCTCTGCATTGTGAAAAAAAGACTGGTTGATCCTGTCTTCTCTGTTCTTCCCCTTCTGTTGCTGTCCCTAATCCATCTGCCATAGTTAAAGCAGCAGTGACATGTCTGCACATGCTCTGTTTGGTGTGTATTCCTAGACAGGGTGCATGTGATCAGCACAGGGGCAATCAGCGCTGTCCAGACAAGAGGGTCAAGGGTTATGCAGCCTCATAGGACAATCAGAGGAGAATGAAAACTCCTCCTATAAGATTAACCAGTGTTCAGCTGGAAACTGATATAAGTCACAAGACTGCTATATACTGCTGATGAGAAAAGATATTTAGCAGTTTATATTTACTAAAATAATTGCATTTCCATGTTCTGTGTACGACAAGATATAGGGAATGCAGGGTCCGGAGAAAGCGGATATAGTAAATGCAGGGTCCTGGGAGACAAGATATAGTGAATGCAGGCTCCTGGGAGACAAGATATAGTGAATGCAGGGTCCTGGGAGACAAGATATAGGGAATGCAGGGTCTGGGGGAGACCAGATATAGTGAATGCAGGGTCCGGGGGAGACCAGATATAGGGAATACAGGGTCTGGGGAGACCAGATATAGTGAATGCAGGGCCCGGGGTGCCCAGATATAGTGAATGCAGGGTCCTGGGAGACCAGATATAGTGAATGCAGGATCCTGGAGACCAGACATAGTAAATGCAGGGTCCTGGGAGACCAGATATAGTGAATGCAAGGTCATGGAAGACTGGATATAGTGAATGCAGGATCCTGGACGACAAGATATAGGGAATGCAGGGTCCGGGGAAAGCGGATATAGTAAATGCAGGGTCCAGGGGAGACCAGATATAGTGAATGCAGGGTCATGGGAGACCGGATATAGTGAATTCAGGGTCCTGGGAGACCAGATATAGTGAATGCAGGGTCCTGGAAGACCAGATATAGTCAGGGTTCTGGGAGTCAGGATATGGTAATGCAGAGTCCTGGGAGAGTGGATATAGTGAATGCAGGGTCTGGGGAGACCAGATATAGTGAATGCAGGGTCCTGGGAGACCAGATATAGTGAATGCAAGGTCCTGGGAGACTGGATATAGTGAATTCAGGGTCCTGGGAGACCAGATATAGTGAATGCAGGTTCTTGGGAGACCGGATATAGTGAATGCAGGGTCCGTGGAGACCAGATAAAGTGAATGCAGGGTCCTGGGAGACCGTATATAGTGAATGCAGGGCCCTGGGAGACCGGATATAGTGAATGTAGGGTCCTGGGAGACCGGATATAGTGAATGCAGGATCCTGGGAGACCGTATATAGTGAATTCAGGGTCCTGGGAGAGCGGATATAGTGAATGCAGGGTCCTGGGAGACCGGATATAGTGAATGCAGGGTCCGGGGAGACCGGATATAGTGAATGCAGGGTCGTGGGTTAAGTAACACTTTACCCTGGTTCACATCAGTGCGGCATTACAGTCACGTGACTTTGAAGCCAACTATTCTGTGCAACTTCAATGCAGTTTGCTGAAACTCTGTGCGACTTCATTTACCAGATGTCAATGCAAGAAGCAATGAAGTCCCACAAAAATAGTGTAGGAACCTTTTTCAAAGTTGTGTTGACTTGAGTCGCA